TGAAAAAACAAACCAGGACACAGATGTAATGACTCCCTGACTTTAAAGGAAGGCTAAATTCAATGCTCTTCCCTGTACCTGTACTTCTAATTCTAGACCCACAGAGCAAGCTGACCTACTAAAATGCATTACTTCAGCAAGGAGCTGTGACTAGAGAAGACTCCCGATACCAACAACAGATGCTCTGTGAACTGATTCAGGCAGCAGCGTACAGCTACTGTGACAAAATTGTCTGCTAAACATACTGTGAGAAATCATATTTATCTCTCTCAGGTTGAGCTCTTTAGAGATGAAGACTTAAACATGATGCCTTTATTTCAGTCTTTAATATGCTCATTATTGCCAAATGAGGTCTACAAACTGTAAAGAAAAAAAGGAAGACCCTTTCCTGGAGCCCATCCCTGGTTCCTAGTCCTCCATCCCACTTACTTGGGGCTCTTTCAGGAAAGCTAAAGTTGTGCAGATAAAATATGGTTAGAAAAGGGTTCTTTATCATTACAGCTATCCTCAATGAAGTCATGAACATTCACATAATTATTGAGATTAAAGGGGTAGAATCTTCTGGAAATGTAGTTTGATGCTGAGAGAATTTTTCACAGATAATGGGATCCATCTTCAAAACTTCACTATCTGCTGTAAGCCAGATGACTTGTTAAACCAAACAGCAAAATACTACTGTCAAATCTAGGTACATATTTGTATCTTCATGGTCAGTTATCATTGCCTAAATCATTAGTAACAAGTCAACAAAACTGACATGTGATCTACAAATATGACCACTAAATGTTATCAAGTTCTCCAGAGATCATCTGGCAACAAACACAATCTGTGCTGTGAGCCTGCACATGGAGAGAGCCTGCTTCCGGGTGTGCCAGGCGCCATACTGGACAACTGGAAAGACCATGTCCTCTGCAGTGTGGGACTGGATGAGTGGGAGGATAGTAGAGTGGGATCTCCCACCGCTTTTCTTTTCTAGTTCCCTTATGCACCTGCTGTATCTCACCCACACCTCTACCACACTGATGCCTGCTTAAGTAACACAGCAAGTTCAACCTTTAAAAGTTAGGCATGGCAGCGCAGACCTATAATTCTAGCACTGGGGAGTCTGTGGCGGAAGGACTGCAAGTTCCAGGATAGCCTGAGCAGCATACAAGATCCTTTCTAAATAAATAAATGAATAAAGAGCCAAGCAAACAAGTAAGTTTACCTAGTAGCTTGGTACAAAAATTGATGCTCAAATACTGATTAAATTGTGTCAGTTATCTGCCTTTAGGAACGAACCTAAAACTAATTTGTGCCTTCCTTGATGACTTAACTGATCTCTAAGCACGTCCATGTTACTTTAAGACGTATATGCTTAATGAGTAGTAGTTAAGTAATCAGTACACAGTTTCATTTCCCTTTGCATTTTGTGGACCTTAAAACTAGTAGAGCCTAGCTTCCTATAAAAACTGACAGGAGACCTGGAGAGATGGCTCAGTGGTTAAGAGCACTGGCTGCTCTTGCAGAGGACCTGCGTTTGATTCCCAGCACCCACATGGAGGCTAACAATCATCTGTAACTCTAGTTCTAGGGGAATTCCATGCCCTCATTGCAGAACACGAGTGCACATGCAGGCAATACACTCATACACATAAAAATAATAAAATATTAAAAACTGACAGAAGAATTCATAGTAATATTTAATGATAATGAAGCAGAACCTATCTACTTAACAGAAATGATATAACTTCTTAAAAATTATGGACAAGTCACAGTAAGATTAGGAAGAACAAAACAGATTGTATGCTATGGATAATTAGCTACTTTTCTATATTTTTGAACAAAAAATGTTCAGGGCAAATTAACTTAAACTGATAGCCTGTGTAATGCCAAGGCTTTGGGTATGCATTCTCAGAGCTATTCAGGGACTGTGCTCGGCTTCACCTCCCACCCCAATCTTCACTGGTGTGGAGGCAATGGATGCTCTGTACTCCTAAGGTTTCTCCAAGATTGCTAAGATGATATGGCAATGGGAAGTTCTGTACTGATGAAAAGTGATTAGTAATGAAAGAATTAAGGGACTCTCCTCCCTTCACCTTCCCCAGCCACTACTCCAAGTTGTAGTTTTTAAAAAAACTCAAAAAGGTGTTTTAAAATCCAGACTTTAAAAGTTGAGCTCCAAGAATTTCCCAAAGTTACTAATCTTACAAACAAAACATCTCTTTGATGTAACCGTTTAGGACATTAAAGTATGTACTAATACATCTAATTTTTTTTTCAAAATAAAATGCGAGTTTGGGCAAAACCAGTGGTGACGGTATCTCAGGTGGGGTAGTGAATAATCAAAAAGGAAAAAGAAGCAGAAGAGCCTGTAGACAGATGCTCAGTCTTCTAAGGGAAGGAAAGTCCTGATGTGGGACTTGAAAATACATGAACTCTGGGGTGAGGCAGTTTCCTGGAGAGTGATCAAAAAAGCCCTTGGGCCTGAACACATACACATACACATACACATCCTCACACATACTGTCAGAGAGGAGTTTTCTACAAGCCAGTCCATGCAGGGCCCAGCTGCTTAGGAGCTAGGCAGAACAACTGGAACAAGGCATTGCCTCGGGGATTTGTCCTGGGAACCAGGCCATGCTGCATTCATATTAATTATCTGGTGGAGGAAGGTAAGCTATATATAACCTAAGATGTTCATTGGTGAAATTTACTAAAGATAAACCGCAGGAAACTTAAGGGTCCTAGAAGAAATTGTGATTGGATTTAGGTACATTAAGCAACCCATATCATAAAGGCAATGAAGCTCAAAGTACAACTCCAAGGCCATGTGAATGAGCTAAACTAATCCCTTTTTCTCATTTAAGTTTCAGTCATTAAACATAGAACTTTCTAGGACTTGATGAAAAACAGAACCCAATAATGTCCTCACTCTTAGAGTTTAGTACTAAAACAAGATATTTTGAGATATATTGGATAAGCTATGCATTATAAAAATCAAAGAAAGAAGGTACTAATGAGATGGTTCGATGGCACTTGTCACTACGCCGGATGATCTGAGTTTGATCTCAGGTACCTGTATTGTGAAAGGGGAGAACTGATGCCCATAAGTTGTCCTCTGACCTCCACACATGTGCACACACTTCTACATACCTACACACACTTACACACGCACACAGATGCCTACACACTAAATGTAAAAAAAAATTAAAGGAAGACAAAACAGCAGTAGTTTTATGTTTAATCTACTGATAGTTATCTGCCTTTCATTTCTACATAGCAACTTGGGGCATATCTCCTGAGTATTTTTCATGTTGTGTTTTGCACTGTGAAGTATAAAGTGGGGGACAGCTAGGACCCTGCCACCAGAATAACAAACTCTCAATAAATAGCTATAAAAGGCATCTCAGTATAGCAGTTAAGACTATAAATTCTGGGGCTGGAGAGATGGCTCAGTGTTTAAGAGCACTGACTGCTCTTGCAGAGGACCCGGGTTTGGATCCCAGCATCTACATGGCAGCTAACAACTATCCATAACTCCAGTTCCAGGGGAATTCCAAGCCCTCTTCTGACCTCCACAGGCACTGCACAACACGGGTATACTTACATGCAGGCAGGCAATACACTCATACACATAAAATAAAAATAAGAATTTTTTTTTTTAAAAAAAGAATATGAGTTCGACAGCCTAAGATGGTCCAGGATTAAGTCTTGGTTCTGTGGGTGACTGACTTTGGGCTCATGGGAAAGTTTTTAACCTTTTTTTTTTTTTTTTTTTTTCCGGAGACAGGGTCTCCCTGTAGCTCTAGCTGACCTGGAACTCACTATGTAGACCAGGCTGGCCTCGAACTCACAGAGATCGCCTGCCTCTGCCTCCCAAGTGCTGGGATTAAAGGCATGCGCCACCACACCCGGCCAAGTTTTTAATCTTTATGTCTTACTTCTTCATCCAGGCACAGTGAGAATGCGCAGTGGGATTCGTGTGATGATTAAATGAGATAATACATGCAGTGGGCTGAGAATGGTTCCTGGTATTTTAATAAAGTGTTCAATAGATATGAGCTAGTAACCATTGTACTGGTACACAAAAGAATAAATCACTTCATAAATGACTGATAGGTAAGTCAAAGTTCTCATGACATTAGAGCATCTTGACTCTGCGTTTTCCTTGAGACACTGACAGAAGTGCTCAGACTTAAGTCTTCCACAACTGGACAGCATAAATAATGCACAGTTTCACTGAGTTTCAAATAAAGTACAAATGCTTCTTGGGTTTATTTATGTTCCAAATGTTGCATGGTAGGAGAGATTGGCTGGGACAGTACGTGGTAGAGTAAGAACTGTAGTGTGTTTGTTTTAAAAGTCTTAGTATTTTCCCAGTAGCTTCTTTCTCTTGGAAGGATCCCCCTACCTCCCATTGTATCGTCTTTAGGAAGACGCCTTTGCTACTATGTACATTTGCCCTTTTTATCATCAAAAGTGGATTGAAGCAAAAGTGAGTTTTTCTCTAGCTACAGGAATATACCCCTGCTGTATTTTCCACAGGCCACTGCCAGCAGAATTTATGCTTAGAGCAGCCCTGCTGGGTGCTACCCAAGTTCTGATAAATCAATCATTTAGCATCACTTCAAAGTCTACATATAAGCCCCCCTTTCTAACTTCAATGAAACAGAACCATTAAAAACCAGCTTTAACAAATTTGCTTTCAGTACTCACAACGGTTTTTAAAAGGCAGTGGCAAAATTCCCCATGTCAGCAGTTTATTTGGATTAGATTAGTACTGGTGGTTTGAACATGCAAAACAGTTTTTTCAAAGAGTTCTTTCGAGATGGATTTGCAACTCAATAAAGAGGCAGGTTCCTTCAGGGATCAGAACATTTTAGTCACATGTTAAGTTGTATTTATGAAGGTGTTTAATGTCCACACATCTTCTTGACTGATAGTGATTAAATGTATGCTGCCAGTTCTTAACAATCAGTAATTTAAGAACAGCAAACCCAGACAGAAGGTCCTCTTACCCCTCAGCACTGATTTGAGGTTGAGTTTGGCTTGACGGTGAAGGTCCTCAACACAGGGGGGTCTTGTACAGGGAAGGAACACATTCTCCTGCTGGTGCCAAGGCGCGGTGTAGTGGACTGTCCATCGACTCTCCTCGTCGAGGTTGGAAACCGCTGCAGAGAAAAAGAACAGATTCAAGTGTCAGTCCTTGGTTCTGAATTTGTTACATTAAGATAAGGTCTTGGCCACCAGGCACCGTGGCTCATGCCTGTACTCCCAATAATAAGGAGGCTGAGGCAGGAGGATTGCTGAGAGTCTGAAACCAAGCTGAGCTACAGAGTGGGTTCTAGTCCACCCTGGGATACAAAGCAACACCATCTTGGGGCTGGAGAGATGGCGCAGGGATTAACAACACGGGCTGCTCTTACAGAGGACCCAGATTTAGTTCCCAGCACCCACATGGCAGCTAACAATCTTCTGTAATTTCAGTTCCAGGGAAATCTGACGACCTCTTCTGACCTCCATGGGCGCACTTACATATATATGGACAGGCAATGCACTCATACATATAAAATAAAATATTAAAAAAAAAAAAATCTTTTAGAGGACCCTGGTTCAGTTCCTTCCTAGCACCCATAAGGCAGCTAACAAACACCCCAAACTTGGATCTGATGTCCTCTTATAGCCACCGCAGGCATTGCACACATGTGGTACACTTATTATATACATGCAGACAAAACACTTATACATATAAAATTAAAATAAATGAATCAAAAAAAAAAAAAAACTGGCTAGGCACGCCGTTAAATATAGCACTCAGGAGGCAGAGGTACATGGATCTCTGTGAGACTGAGGCCAGTTTGGTCTACATAGTAAGTTCCAGGACAGCCAGGGATGCAGGGAGACCCAGTCTCAAAAAGCCAAAACAAAACAAAACAAAACAAAAAAACCCAAACAAGCAAAAACAACAGCAACTAAACAATAAGTTGTGGTACCTAATACACCCACAGCAAAGAACCTGGCTGGAGCACGGGAGGATACCCTAGGGAATTTTAATCTCAGAATCCAGGGGCCTTGCCTACCCCGTTCTGCCTATAAAGAAAACCTCAAACTGTCCACCCACCACACAATGTGTTCATTGGCTTATTAGCTTAGTTCCCTACTTCCCTAGAGTGTAGGTCCTGCTCCTGTGTTAGAAGAATGAGGGACAAAACTGATAGTGACCTCTCAATCTCAACAAATACTAGTTAGTCAATATTACACTTCCACTACATCATTAAACATGATATTGTTGTGACAGAAGCAAATTTCCTACCAGGAGGTTAAAACTAACCACTTTTCCTTTACAGCATTACTTAAAAACATTACTGTTATAATTCAATTGAATGTTAAAACTTAGTATAAATAGTCAATTTAACACTTACATGGCATATCTAGTGGATGTAGAGATTCATTTGGGTTATAAAATTCTTGTTGTTTGCTTTCATGGAATGCTTTTATATTAAAATGCTTCTCTAAAATTTATACTGCAATTGTCTTTATCTAACACAAATCAGTTCAATTGAATTCTTCTAACAAAAAGTGTCCAAAACATTAGAGGGGAAAATCACTGGCATCCCAAGACTAAGATGAACCTCTAAGATAATTTTCTTTGATTCACCCTAGGGCAAATCTCTATATTTTGTTCCTGACAACCCACATTGGGTTGGGCCTAAAAATAAAGCTGGCAGCATCCAAATTCATCTGCAATTTTTTTAATACTTTCTAGATGTGAGCCACATATCTCTAGAGAAAAGTAAGAGGGAACCCCTAGACTGACACATGTACTCAATGCCAACTCCTCTAAAGTCAGCAGACATTAAGAGTGAGTCAAAGGCAAGTCTATCTCGACTGCACTGTGATAAGCAGTTCCCCAGAGCAGAATGTGTACCTAGGAACCAGATCATAAAACATACCCTTAAAAGAACAAGAAAAAAATATGAACTAATGACTTTATTTGAACATATTTAACTTTAACTAAACATACCTCATAGCTCAGTTATTATGACTATTATAATGACCAAATGGACTAACAGATATAAAACTCTTGGTTCAAGAGAAAACTTGAAAAGCAAAGTTGTGGCAGGGATGGTAAACATAATTCTGAAGATGCCTCTGACTTCAGGACTTTTCCCATGAAAGAACTGCATCTTCCTGAGCCCATAAACAATCTTTCCTATAGCTGTTACATTTTAAAAGCCCACGAATCTGAAAAGAATAATTCATTTCTCAAAGGATCCACCCTTTTCACGAATTACTAAATGGGAAAATATACATTGAGTAGACATCAAGTTAAAAATAGAAATGCTCTATTTTCTGCTTATAGTGTTTGACAAAGGCAGCATGTAACATAGGCACCTAATAGTTCACATACTCTCTTCCTGAACAAGTGTTCTGCATGGTACATAATACCATCAGCCTCCATAAACGAAGCCTGAAAGCCCTGCCTTTCTTCACTCTCCTACACGGGTCAGAGAGTCCAGCAGAGTTCCAAAGCAGCCATACGGTCCCCCAAAGTGTGTCTAGAGTTCATTACAATGTTTTGTGCTGATGCCACTAATTTTATAATTTCAAGCATCATATGTCATAGATGGAAAACATGGAAACTTAAACTTTTCCTCTTTGCTAATTACAAATCAGACCCAGGCACACTGGCCTCTGCGTCTGTGTAATCACAGCATCAGCCCCAGTGCACGGCCACCAACTGGCTCCTCTGAAAGAGCAGCTGTCTCTTTCCTGCTCTACCTGCCTCTTGCCAGGGCAGATTTTGATCAGTCTTCCCAAAGACAGGCTTTAAGCTAGAGAGACACAGAAAACAAGTCCAGAGTACAGTTCTTTGTGGCTTTCTCCAAAGCTCATTACCAGAGGCCGCTCCCACACATTTATCCAGGTCTAGTTACTGATCACAAAATGACACAAGCCACACTGCAATAAGCCAGTAACCACACAGAAATAAAGCCATGTCACTGTAAAACATTTTCATGGGAATGAAGAAGCACCTGGATTAACAAAATTTAAACTGACAGAAACTAAGACAATAAAGTCACACCACAAAAGCTCGGTACTTTACAACAGTCACTGATCTGTCTAGACAGTTTGTCCTCGAGCTCTGAAATCCATAACTGTGAGTCCCAGGGAGTTTTAGAAGATCAGCAGCACCAGAAGTATGTTGACACATTACACAGTTGCTCCTTACCTCAGTCACTCATCCAGCCAAAACTCAGAAACCATACATAGTATATCAAGGGGCACAAAGTCAACACAAAGGTTTTCCCCTTCTATAAAAGACTTCTTTTGAGACATATAAAAGAAATGCATTCACTTTTAAAATCCCAACCATAAATAAAAAGACAAGCATCATACTGTCCAACATATTTCAAGGACCTGGTATACAGTGGAGATTAACTCAGGCCTATTACACCGTTTCATTCTACTTTCGGCACTCAGAAGGACAAAGGAACAAATACAAATACACACACACACACACACACACACACACACACCCCTTAGAATTACTTACATTTCTTCTTAAATAGTTTAATGAAAGATTTAATCTTTGCATTAATGAACACCACCATTTCCGAAGCACCTACATAGGTTTAGAAATTTAAATCACTTTCAAAGCAGGGTCCGGCTGGAAGGTGGCAGGCTGTGTTCCTGGGCTCCAGATTCCAACCTTCCTCAGATTGCAGATCCTTCAGCGGCTATTAGTCTGGGCTGTTCCAACTCTGAGGTCAAGTTTATTGTCAGGTAGTTACAAACCATTAGCAGTCCTTGAACCTGAAAAACTCCCACTGAAACCTAATCTTAAAGGCTGGGAGCAGCAAGTAATAACAGAGGGAAAGAGAAAGCCAATCACCAATCACAGTCCTCTTTTGCAGAAGAGCCACAACAGGTTTTCTGCCTCGGTGCCCATTCATTCCATTTCTTCCTCACACACCAGAAGCTTCTACTCTCTGGAGTCCACAAATACACGGCAGATTTTCCTCTATAGAAGCCACATTATGATGAAATAAACGTGTCCCCCATTCTCACCAGGCCACTGTGAACAACCAGATCTTTTTATAGAAGTCAACAAGTCTGAGAGTAATTCCATATTGATTCTGTGATGCTCCAGCTCTTTCTGAGTGTATGGGATGTGAACTAATAGAGGGAAAAGAGCCAACTATTGTTTCCCAGCCACGCCCCCAGGCTCTGCCTCCCACACCAAGAGAACTTTTTTATAAGCAGCAAAACTAGAATCACCAAGGAGCTTTGAGAGATGACTTGGTTGCATTTTTATGCAAATGAGGGTGTCCTGTCTCCTCAGTCCGCTAGTGACTGAGACTCAGCACTGGGTCTTACAAAGTATGACTTCATTTGCATCTAGCTGACACAACTCTAAAAATACCAAACAAAATAAAACCCTATTACCTCCCTACTCCAAAGCAGAAATTAGATAAATTACCCTAATCACTTTAATCTTTCTTTTAAATGTAATTATCACCTAACAGCCTGGTTTTAACAATTCCACCAAAGCTTTTTCTGGGTAGTTGTCTTAAATAAACAGTATTTGAGTTATTCTTTAACTGAAATATACTATAAACTACGTTCTGCGATCGACGCCCCCCCCGGCCCCCGCCCCACCACCACCTTCACAGCCACAGAGAACTGGGGAAAAGCAAGCAAGTGGAGGAATGAGAAATTAAGGCGCTGGGAAAATACATTCCACAAGGAAAGGGACAGAGGTAAAAACTTGAAGAACACAGATCAGAAACTTTAAAGGGAAGGAAGGAAAAGTTCCTCACATCAGCCCACTTCATGCTAAACAGTTTGGGAAGCAGTTTAAAGTACATCATATTTCATAGCCTTGGGCCAGACTTGTAACTGAGTGGAAAAATGTAATAACCTGCTAATTCAAAACATTTAGTTTATAACAAAGGCTCTTAGTCAAAGAACAGCAGTTTATAGACGGGGGCTTCCTTTAGGGAAAGCTTTGTGATGAAGGTTCCTCAAATCTTTTTATCCCTTTAACCACCCTTTTTGAACAACAAAAGCAAACAAACAAAACCCAAAGAAACTAACATATCATCACTCATATTTCCAATTTGTGTCTTTTCATCTTTTACACAGTTTTACTTAAAAGTCACTAAAG